CACCTGAGAGGCATCACTGCATCTGGCCCCCTTTCTCCCTTCCCACCATCCTGGATTCTGTGTACTTCTCTTGGTTTTCTTTACAATATCACCCTCTCATTTGGCTTTTTGTGAACCTTATTTCAGTGAAGGAACTGTGGATGTGCTGTCTGAGGGATTTGATTGCTTGAGACTCCTCTGTGTTGGTTCTTGCAGCTGTGGTCCAATCACTTTGACAGCTGGAAATCTGCCTCCATCAGGTCTGTTGGTGGTGCACATTTGGGCTGTTTGTAAAGCATTTGCCTCCTGGTACACATGCATCATGAACAGATAGAATTATATCATCTATTTAATGGAAAACTTTCCCAGAATAGCTGAACACTTCCACTCCTAGCTGTATGGAGGAGTTTCTTTTCCTCCAGTTTCTTTTCCTCCTTCTGTCCTGTCAACAAGTGACAGGACAGACGTGACAGGACAGACTTGCAACTCTTCATTGCCACTATTGAGGCTGTATAATGAATGTACTCTGTAGTTTTATTACTAAAGAGTCATTGGCAGGCGGTATGCTGCTCTCACACCTGTAATCCTAGCTACTCAGGAGGCTGAGATCTGAGGATCACTGTTCAAAGCCAGCCTGGGCAGGAAAGTCCATGAGACCCTTATCTCCAACAGAAAACTAGAAGTGGTGCTGTGTCTCAAGTGATAGTGCACTAGCCTTGAGCTGAGAGACAGAGACCAGAGTTCAAGCCCCACTACCAACAACATAAAGTCATTGGCAGTAAGTCTTGATCCAAGAATCTCAGCAGATTTCCAGTTGATAGAAACAGACCTCGCTCCTACTATAACTGCTGCTTCCCACCAACCTAAGCCTAACAGTGGGCATGGAAGAAAACTTTTTGTTAAAGTTCTAAAAGAATGTAGGAAAGTTGAAACTACTTGTGGAGAGCATCTCTCTCCTCTCCATTCCTCACGGTGGGTCTTAGGTGAGCAGCTAGGTCACCTCCCCATCCACTGCATTATTCCTTCACCCCATTCTTCGGAGCACCCCTTGAGTGTTGTTACACAGGTATATGCAGAGGACCCAGGGCACTAACACGTGAGCAGCAGCGAGGCCACAGGCACTCACCTGGCGGCAGGAAGAGGGTGGCCCGCACCCGGCCCTCGCGCACCGGCACCCGCCGCACCCCGGCCGCCATGAAGTGCCGCTCGTGCACCGCCCGCGCCAGCACGCGCCCGCCCTCGGGCTCGCCGGGCCCGGCGGGCTCGCGGCCGTCCAGCACCTCCAGCTCCAGCAGCAAGGGCGTCTGCACGTCCCGCTTGAGCAAGCGCCAGAAGGGCCTGTCGGGCTGCAGGGCCCAGACGAGCCCCATGGGCTCGAGCCCCGCGAAGCTGCCGCCCAGCGCGGGCGCGCGCTGCAGGTCCAGCTGGCCGCGGGCGTCGGCGCGGTAGCGCGCGTGGGCCCGGAAGAGCGCGCCCTTCTCGTCGCGCAGGGACGCGCGCAGCGCCACGGGCTGCTCGGGGGCCAGGCCGTGCACGGCGATGCGCACCGGCTCGTCCCAGCACACGCGGCCCGCGGGCTCCACCACCACCCTGGGCGCCGCCATCTCGACTGCAGCCGGAAGGGTCCGCAGCGCATGGACTAGCCTGGCGTCTCCCCGCCCCTGTCTCTCCGCCAGGCAGCGGAGGCCAGAGCACTGGCTTCCTTCCCATTGGTTGAGGATCGGGATGCTCTCCCAGCTGCTGTGTGAGCTTTGTTTGGGTGAGGAAAAGTTTTCTGATTGAAAGCAGGAACATCTGCCCCGGGCAAATGCTGATCCTGGCACGCACATAGTTGAGTATTGAAACAGGCACAGAGACGGACGCAACAACAAAGGCTGAGAGTCCCACCACTCGGATGTTCAGAGCCATCCTTGGTGATTGAAATTCATGTGATCATTAAGAAAGAAGGCCGGGATCCCTGTTTATCCCTTAAGCCTTTCCTGAAGCTCAGGGGAGATCTGCTTCCAGGGTTAGCCAGTCTTGGTGCAGTCAGAACCTTTGGCTGCTGGTATGACTTTGCTCTTTAATAGCTCGAGGATCTTTTTGCAAAGTATGTAACTCTCTGGATACATTCTCTTTATCTGGACAGCTTGTTAGAGTTATTGAAGGAAGAACCTATTTAAAAAACAAAAAAAACCTGGGGCCCATGCTCCTGCAAGGAAAGAGAATTCTTTACCTCACAAATCTAATTGCTCTCCGTGTCAGGTTCAGCTTTTTTTTATTTGTTTTGTTTTGTTGCTTGTTTGTTTGACCACTTCTAGCAGAAAGCAAGAGACTTATGGAACCTGGGCAACACAAGGAGTGTTTCTTAAAGGAACTAAGACATTTGCCAAGGCATAGGAACATTAGAAGCAAAAGACCCTGTGAGGTTCGTTGAAGAACTTTGGGCCGCAAAGCTAAGCTGCAGGAGCTCTGACTTCCTAGAGGGAGAACACTAAATACAACTATTTGCTGGGTGCAGGTGGCTCCTGTCTGTAATCCTAGCTACTCAGGAGGCTGGGATCTGAGGATCATGGTTCAAAGCCAGTCTGGGCAGGAAAGTCTGTAATACTTTTATCTTCAATAAAACAGGAGAAAACAGGAGGTAGCACTGTGGCTCAAGGTAGTAGAGTGCTAACCTTGAGCAAAAGAGTTCAGGGACAGTACCCAGGACCTGAGTTCAAGCCCCATGGCTGACTGAATAAATAAATGTATTTCATTCTCTTCTCATTCTGCAGTATCTCTCCCAGTGGCCTCTCTTTGGTGGAGCTCAACTGTACAGCTCAGCTGATCTAGATACCAAGCAGGGTGAAGAAAGGAACTAAAGAAGGTGTTGGGTGAATAGAAGCTCTATAAGTACTTAAATAAACTGAAATAAAAAGTATCATATTAGGTCTTAGGCTCCGTTGACCTTTCCCCCATTCCACTTAATGGAGCAATTGTTTCTGGGTAGTTGAAATACCCGTTTGTTTGCTTTTTAAAATGTGTAACAATCTGGGAAAGTTTCCCAGTCTAGGAAACTTAAGATCACAACGAATTTACCTGGGTCACTGCAGTGCCCAGCATAGAAATTAAAAGGTACAGGCAGAGTTCAGAAATTGTACGGGCAGCTCTTCCTCCTCTTCCCAATGCCCTGGTTCCTATGACACCCACAGAAATGGCTCAGTGACACATGAGGGAAAAGCAGCTGAGAAAGTGGCCTGCGTCCAGCCATTCAGAACACCTTCACTGGGGAGACCTGAGCCTAGGTGAAATATGGATACTGGATCTAATTAATACTATCTAGTCCTCACCCCCAATCTTGGCATCTTACTAGATGATGGGAACTTTCTGAGAACTACAGAGGCAATGTGGGTCATTGCTTGAATTGCAGATGTATCATGGGTTGTTTAGCTCCAGAAAAGTTTTGCTCCAGAGAATATTTGCCCTTGGTTTTCCTTGATTGTATCTCCTAGCTAACTTGCCCTTGGTTGCCCTGGTTGTTTCTCATAGATAGCTTGCTTTGCTTCTGTAAAGCATACTTTGCTAGTCCCCATACCATGTGACGTGCCCTGTTGTGGTTTTTGCCTTTATAAGCTTTATGATAACTGCATTCGATACTGCAAGTTTTGGGGGGACATGAGTCCACTTGCAGTCACTGGCTTTCAAAAATAGAATCATGATTCAGCCTTTCAAAATGTGGCTGCTCGATATCTCGCTGATCGAATTCCTGTATAATATAGTGTTGTACAGTCATAAAACAGAGAAGCCACGTTTTGAGAGGTCAAGTTTGGAACCTTTATTGGAATGCTGGTGATCTGCAGATGGACTCCTTTCACAAAGATCTACAGCCCAGCGAATATACTTAACACTGTTAGAAAACTGAGCCATGAGAGCTGGAGAGGAAAGAAAGAGCAGAAATACAATACCAACAAACCAGATCAACGCCGATGGGGAGCTGAAGTGGGGATACCATGTTGATCAGAAGAGAGACAGGAGACATGAAGACATGAATGTGGAGACAGGAGACAGGGCGTACCTGAGCCTGAGCTGGTCCAGGCCTAAATAGGGTCAGGTCAGGGGGCAGGGTCAAAGGGAACTTGAGAGTTCCTAACCTAAGACCAGCAGATCCAGTAACCTATTGGCCAAGTCCCTGCCTCTGCCTCTAAGAATTCGGGCTGGCCAGACTCAACTCCCACCATCTACTGTGTGGCCAAGATGGCGCTAGCCAGATCCAGCATCCCTACTTCAATAGGAGCTGCATGGAAGAAGCAGGGCTGGCACAAGCCAAGTCTGGTGTGCCCATAGTCTGCAAAGCATCAGGTACCATAGAAAATGATCAGTGATCATGGGAGGAAGGTGGCTCCATACAGTTCCAGTGTTTGATAGAGTTTGATATCGTTCCAGTGTTTGATACCGCTCCATACAGTTCAGTGATGTGATGATGACTGACTTTAACACCCAGATGGAGGATATACTGTGCTCAGAATGAAACCAAACCATAAGCTTCTGTGCCCCTAACTAAGGGTTAGGACTTCATGTCCTTTGCTAACCCAGGGAAGAATTTTGTTGGTTGTACAGATATAAAGGTGCTCACTAAAAGCCTCACTGAAAGGGTCCTGAACCTGTCTGTGATTGACAATTCCTGACTTTCAGCTGTGTTCTCAGTACAGAAAGGCTGCATAATGACAGAAACAATGACACTGGATCCTTGCTTCCTATATTATTAGTGAGTCATCTCACTACATACATTTGATTTAGTGTCATCCTACTTTAATGGATTATGAAAAGTGTTAGAGAATTGAAACTGGAAGAAGTACACTCATAGGCTGGGAATATAGGTCGTGACAGAGGCCTGAAATTCTAGCATTTGGGATGGAAAGGCAGGAAGGTTGAGTTTGAAGCCAGGCCAGACTCTATGGTGAGAATCTGTCTCAAAAGATTAAACAAACAAAATTTAAATGTGTTAAATAAACCCAATGCTGGTGGCTCATGTCTGTAATCTTAGCTGCTGTCAGGAAACTGAGTCATGCGTATTAGGAAAGATGGAGCAGATGGAAGTATTGTAAGGTGAGAAAATGGAGAAGCCACATTTTGAAGGATCGAATCTTGGAGTCTTTATTAAAAGGCTGGCAACTGCATGGTGGGACTCCTGTCTTGAAGACTAGCAGCCAGCAAATATACTTAACATAGTTAGGAAACAGGCCAAAGAGGGAAAAAAGGAACAAAACTATACCAACAACACTCTGATGCTGAATTGGGATGCCGTGGTGATCAGAGAAGAGCCAGGAGTCAGGACAGGCACACAGACATGTGGCATGGCATAATGGTGCCTGAGCTAGTCCAGGACTAAATAGGGCCAGGTCTCTGGACAGGGCCACAGGAAACTCCCAGTCCCAGACACTTGACTGACAGGTTTTACAACCTATTATCAAGTACCAGTCCCTGTCTCCAGGGATTCAGGCATGCCCATCACCTGGGAGGCTGGGGCTTCATCTTCCCCCATCCTGAAGACAAGATGCCAGACCCTACCATCCACCATGTGGCCAAGATGGTAGCAGCTAGACCTGCTCACTACTTCAAAAGGAGAGAAAGAAGTCAGAGACCTTAGCAGACCAGAACAGGCTTTAATCATGGCTGCAGAGGGACTCCATGTAGCAATGAGCAGGGTTAGAGAAATGAAGAATAGAGAATGGGGGTTAAAGTTTTTATACTTTCTATGGTGAGGCTCTTCTTCTTTGGAATTTCTTTGTCCTGTCCTGTCCTGTTGCGGATTTATTGTCCAGTTTGGGATTTAGGATGCAAACTGTCCTGTTTGGAGCTTTATGGTAGGTATCCTTCTGATGATGACAGCCTTGCACTTTCAAATAAAGTCACCTGGAGGAGGCTGGTCAGTAGGCCATGGGGGCAACATGAAGTTCTGAGCACAAAGCAGCTTCCCATCAGCTACTCAGAAGACTGAACTATGAGGATTACAGTTCAAAGCCAGCCCAAGTAGAAAAGTCCATGAAACTCTTCTCTCCTTAACTGGTATTTAATTGTACCAAAAAGCTAGAAGTAGAGTTGTAGCTTATGTGGCAGGATGAGCAAGCCTCGGGACCAGCACAAAACAATAAATAGATAGATAGATAGATAGATAGATAGATAGATAGATAGATAGATAACATAACTACAAATTTAAAAACTAAAATATTATGAAAAAAATTAAAATCCTCCTAACCAAGGTGCTCAAAAGCTTAAGCTAGGTAAGTAATGTCCAGCTACTCCAGCATGCCAAACAAAGCTCATCTCAGTGTCTTCTTAGTCTGGTACCCTAGAGGCAGGGAGTTGGGATTGGGGTTTTTCACCTTGTTCTTTCAGTTGGGGTTCCTGCCTGATACCAGTGATGGGGTGTAAGTGCATGTTATTGCATCTATGAAATTCCTCTCAGCCAGATTCCACACCAGAAGGGTTTGTGTGAAATGGGGCCACACTAGGCATATATTCTCCCCCAGAGCTGTATAGACTAGACCTTGGTAGGATTATAGCAGTGGTGGGTCCCTGGATGCCTCTGAGCTGGGAGAGGTGTGGCAGAACCTCACAATCTGCC